TTTTTTAAGCCTCTCTTATCTCATATGTGAAAATACCTGATTAACTAGTAACGTTCACGTCACTAACAGAATCTATTTGCTTTTTTTTGATCTCTTACAGAAGGTCAAGCAGTAATATCAGCGGCCTCAATAGTGAATTGTGTGCAGATGATCAGTCGGTAGGCCTCATTCTGTCCGAATCATTGAAATCTTATTATAATGCTGTATCCCATCTTTTAAAATAACACAGTCTGAATGAAAAGCTGCAGTAGGACGGGTGTTGTATGGATATTCTTTAAACATGATTTTGTTGCTATGGTAATAAATCAAAAACATTTCCGTTTTATATTGATAAACGTTTCTGCTTCTTAGCTTAACGAGGAGCCTCTTGCGATGAACCAGGAGTCCCCCTCCCAGGAGCTGGTACCCTTAAAGAAGAGGCGGACACGCATCCCAGACAAACCAAACTACTCCCTCAACCTTTGGAGCATCATGAAAAACTGCATCGGCAAAGAGCTGTCTAAGATCCCGATGCCTGTAAGGATTTCTTACTGAACGTCCAGTCAGAGTTACTGAAAGCTTGTTGTTCTTCCATGTGTGCTTCGTTGTTCACCTGTTGAAAAAGACGTCTGATCAGCTTCATTTTGGACAGTCAGACTCAAAGAGTTTGAGTGTTAAAATATTTGTGTCTTACTCATAATATTCAATTAATGAAAGATTTGGGTGCCTTTTAACACCCCTCCTACCCCAAGTTAAAACCACATTGGAAATATGGTTTGTGTGCGTTTACAGTAAAAATACAAAATCTACGATAAGCTAACCGCATCATTAAATGCCACCGCAGTGCCTCCAAAATGTGGCAGCAGTCAGTTCAGTGTGACGAAATTGGAGCGTAGATACTGATCCCTGTCCTTTTTCCGCTGTAAGGGTTGTCAGCATTCTGCGAGAGCTTTTGAAGATCTTTATCGGCAAATCTGCCCAGATTTTGTTTATTTGTGAAATCGACTGTAGGTGTGGGTCAGCAGAGTTGTCTAAAATGAGCTACCATCACGGCTTTTTATAGGAGTCCAGACAAACTGATTTGTCAGACTGATCACTGCTGAGATAAATGGTCACATGTTTGATTTGGCTTTGTTCTGTCAACTTATCACTGCCATTGTGTCGCCCTGCCCCCACTCTAACAATAAAGAGTTTTGTCTCTGCCACATTACAGAGATACTTTGACATTGACACATGTCGACTTCCTGTAGCTTAGCAACACTACCCGCCAGGTCACTGCTGACCCATCTATGGTTGTGGTTTAGAAAATTGCTTGGGCTTTGCTTAAGCCAAAAGCTAAATTAGCAGATTTTCAGAAACTGGCAATACAGGTTTTCTGTTAAAAGCTTTTCTATTTGGTCTTTCCAAACAGAAGACATTACCCAAACCATACAGTGGGGCAAAAAAGTATTTAGTCAGCCACCGATTGTGCAAGTTCCCCCACCTAAAATGATGACAGAGGTCAGTAATTTGCACCAGAGGTACACTTCAACTGTGAGAGACAGAATGTGAAAAAAAAATCCATGAATTCACATGGTAGGATTTGTAAAGAATTTATTCGTAAATCAGGGTGGAAAATAAGTATTTGGTCAATAACAAAAATACAACTCAATACTTTGTAACATAACCTTTGTTGGCAATAACAGAGGTCAAACGTTTACTATAGGTCTTTACCAGGTTTGCACACACAGTAGCTGGTATTTTGGCCCATTCCTCCATGCAGATCTTCTCGAGAGCAGTGATGTTTTGGGGCTGTCGCCGAGCAACACGGACTTTCAACTCCCGCCACAGATTTTCTATGGGGTTGAGGTCTGGAGACTGGCTAGGCCACTCCAGGACTTTCAAATGCTTCTTACGGAGCCACTCCTTTGTTGCCCGGGCGGTGTGTTTTGGATCATTGTCATGTTGGAAGACCCAGCCTCGTTTCATCTTCAAAGTTCTCACTGATGGAAGGAGGTTTTGGCTCCAAATCTCACGATACATGGCCCCATTCATTCTGTCCTTAACACGGATCAGTCGTCCTGTCCCCTTGGCAGAAAAACAGCCCCATAGCATGATGTTTCCACCCCCATGCTTCACAGTAGGTATGGTGTTCTTGGGATGCAACTCAGTATTCTTCTTCCTCCAAACACGACGAGTTGAGTTTATACCAAAAAGTTCTACTTTGGTTTCATCTGACCACATGACATTCTCCCAATCCTCTGCTGTATCATCCATGTGCTCTCTGGCAAACTTCAGACGGGCCTGGACATGCACTGGCTTCAGCAGCGGAACACGTCTGGCACTGCGGGATTTGATTCCCTGCCGTTGTAGTGTGTTACTGATGGTGACCTTTGTTACTTTGGTCCCAGCTCTCTGCAGGTCATTCACCAGGTCCCCCGTGTGGTTCTGGGATCTTTGCTCACCGTTCTCATGATCATTTTGACCCCACGGGATGAGATCTTGCGTGGAGCCCCAGATCGAGGGAGATTATCAGTGGTCTTGTATGTCTTCCATTTTCTGATGATTGCTCCCACAGTTGATTTTTTCACACCAAGCTGCTTGCCTATTGTAGATTCACTCTTCCCAGTCTGGTGCAGGTCTACAATACTTTTCCTGGTGTCCTTCGAAAGCTCTTTGGTCTTGGCCATGGCGGAGTTTGGAGTCTGACTGTTTGAGGCTGTGGACAGGTGTCTTTTATACAGATGATGAGTTCAAACAGGTGCCATTCATACAGGTAACGAGTGGGGGACAGAAAAGCTTCTTACAGAAGACGTTACAGGTCTGTGAGAGCCAGAGATTTTCCTTGTTTGAGGTGACCAAATACTTATTTTCCACCCTGATTTACGAATAAATTCTTTACAAATCCTACCATGTGGATTCATGGATTTTTTTTTTCACATTCTGTCTCTCACAGTTGAAGTGTACCTCTGGTGCAAATTACTGACCTCTGTCATCATTTTAAGTGGGGGAACTTGCACAATCGGTGGCTGACTAAATACTTTTTTGCCCCACTGTACCTGTACCTATCTAACAGTCTATACATATATACTTTTACTGAAGTGACGCTACATAGCAAGCGTCAGTGTGTGTGATGGGCCTCGCTCACATTGAGTGTAGCAGAGTGGAGACAGATGCATATGCTGACAACAACTCTTAAGGTCACCGAAAGCGTAATAAAAACTTTCCAAGAAGTGAAGAGGGAACACAAACCTGACCACAGTTTGTGGTTAAGTCACAAACTACTGCAGCAAGTGTGAAATTGCTCAAAAACTGCTGACTCTTTGCTATTAGCTTCCTCTGTGCTAACAAAGCTCTCCCAGAAGGAAGCAGTGCACTGCTGCAGATGCACACAGGACAGTATAGAACCGAATTGAACAGATCAGCCTGTGGTCACTTCTACCCAGTCTAGCTTTTTGAATCAGGTTCAGATCCACGTCTTAGCCATGTGTGAGATTTGTTTCTGGAATTAATACATAACACAAATATAAAAGTAAATTTCAAACATTTTGCTTTCTAGGTTAATTTCAATGAGCCCATCTCCATGCTGCAGCGGTTGTCTGAGGACCTCGAGTACCACGAGTTGCTGGATAAGGCCGCAAAGTGTCAGAACTCTTTGGAGCAGATGTGCTACGTGGCCGCCTTCGCAGTGTCTGCCTACTCCACCACAGTCTACCGCACGGGAAAGCCTTTCAACCCTCTGCTGGGAGAAACGTATGAGCTGGACCGCAAGAGAGAAAGTGGCTACCGCTCCCTATGTGAGCAGGTGAGGGAGGAAAAAAACCAAGAGAATGGAAGTTTTCCAACCGAGAACTGTAACTCAAAAGAGAGATTGAATGTCAGAAAGGAGGAATTAAAAAAAATCCCACTGACTTGGCATTAGGAGAGAATTTTACTTCCTTTTTCTGCGCAGTTGGGGTTGAACATGCTGTCAGGGAACCAGAATTATTATTATTATTATTATTATTATTATTATTATTATTATTTTTTTTTTTTTAATATGGAGACATGAAGTGGTGACTTTTTTTTTTTTAAATCAAAAAGTGTCATATTTCTGCCCCTTGTCATAAAATACACAAACCTAAAACAATCTAAAGTCACTGGTTGATCCTGAATAGATTATTTGTAGAGGAGGAAATCAAATGGAGGTTTAGTGTGTGTGTGTGTGTGTGTGTGTGTGTGTGTGTGTGTGTGTGTGTGTGTGCGCGTGCGTGTGTGTGTGTAAAAGCTGTCATGTCACATGTCAGATTTATGAGACTAAATGTGAGTCACATCTATTGGGGATGACTCAGACTCACGAAGAATAGGACTTGATGTTTTGTTGCATCAGAAAAACATTTTCTCTTTCCAGGTGAGTCACCACCCACCTGCTGCTGCACATCATGCTATCTCTGATCGTGGCTGGACGTTGAGACAAGAAATCACAGTTGCGAGCAAGTTCAGGGGGAAATACCTCTCCATTATGCCTTTGGGTAAGAGGCAAGCTAGGTTAGAAAACAAAGCATACCATTCTTCCATAGTGTCAAGGACAAAAGATGTACACACAACTATCATCAGAATTTATAAGTGACTAAAGAGTGTACCAGCCCACACCTTTCTTTAGTTGAACCATAAAACGGTAATTACTAATGAACAAAGGTTTTGCTTTGCTTTTTTTTTTTTTTTAGTTTGTTTCATATTTCTTTTCTTCGTCACAGGCACAATTCATGCAGTCTTTGAGAAGAGCAATAATCACTACACATGGAAGAAAGTTAACACCACGGTGCACAACATCATTGTCGGAAAACTTTGGATCGATCAGGTGAGACGCTCGGACACGTCGTTGCAGGGCCACGGGCCTGATCTGCAGAGGAGGCAGGATTGAAGAGCAAGAAAGGCTCTGTTATGACGCTCCTAACAAGGAAAAATAAACATGGGTTTATCTTTTACAACCAGCTTTGCCACGATATGACTGACATGATGTCTTTCATGGAGAGACAATAACAAGTTCTCATGCTAGTAACATTAACAAAGAAGTGACATTTGAATAGAGTTACTGACGCCTTTAATGACTTCAGTGATTCACAATGACATTAATATGCAGGGTGGATACCAAAAAGAAAACGCACAAAGAAAACTTTTGAAAGGGTGTACTTCAGCACATCCGTACACTTATCTGATCTCCTGCACGTACACGTGTACATGTTAGTCATCAGAGATCTGCATAACTCATTCTGTGCAGATTTTTACGCAGGGTGCCCTTCCCACTACTGCCCTCCCATTTATTTGGCAGTTTGTTTAACAGCTTTAACTCACTTTAACAGGTCAGGTTCTCGATTGGTTCTCATATCTAAAATTTAGAAGTTTTCAAGTTTCACTTGGTAGCATCTGGGGTTCCTCAGGGCTCTGTCCTTGGTCCATTACTCTTTAACCTTTACGTATTCCTGCTTGGTCCCATCTTAAAGAATCAAAATATCATTCTTATGCAGATTAAACATAGTTGTACTTATCATTTCCCTCTGATGTAACCTCACACACTAATGATTGATTAGACTGGATGTCTAAAAACTTTTGTAATTTAACAGAGAGGTGTTGAAGATATTTGTTGTCAGAGACTAGTTTTCTAAAACACAACAAGCAACCCAGGAATCTGTACTGCGGTCACTTAGTTCACTTACAGTTCAGTACAGAATTACCTTTTAGTCCTTCTTTTTGTTAATATAGCTTTCTGTCTTTAGGCCTCCCGGTACACCTCTGACTTAGTGTCTATAACAAGGTCAAACCTCTCAGGTCATCAGGGGCAGCTCTTCTCACTCCTCTCAGATTTAGATTCGAGTGTGCTAAGGGAGCTTTCTGTTAGTGCTCGCCTGTTCTTTGAAACAAGCTGCCTGCTGACCTAAAGGTCAGTTGCAACTATGCCTGCCTTCACAGACGGACTCGAGATTTTACTCTGTTTGTACGTGTTACCGTGTATTTTATTCCTTTGCAAAGTCTGATTTGTTTTTTATTGGTTAATCGCAAAGAGTTCACATGTAATGAAATGTGCTATATAAATGAATTTGCCATGGCTGGTTGCCATCACATAGCATTAAAATACCCTATTTCTTTGCTTCCAGTTCTAATTTTTACTCTACAGATAAAAAGTAGAGTAAGCGCATTGCGTTGCAGCATTTTAACTTGAGTGTGAAGTAAATTTTTTATCTAGTCGATATCATCCCCACTTGTGATTTTTATTTTTATTTTTTCCCTCCTCACTGTGTATCCCTGTGTTTCCCTTCCAGTCTGGTGAGATAGACGTAGTAAACCACACCACCGGAGACCGCTGCCACTTAAAGTTTGCTCCTTACAGCTACTTCTCCAGAGATGTAGCCAGAAAGGTGAGAAAGATGCAGAAGACCTGAATAGATTTAGTCTGTTTTTCTCTGACTTGATTTGAAAGAAAACTCACACACAGTAGGTGCATCAAGTTTGAACCAACAGACAAATTTTAATATACAGGCGGTATATTGTGGTATTGTGGTAACCTCCCCTCTCTTCTGTTTTTAGGTTACAGGTGTGGTAATGGATAAAGATGGAAAGGCACACTACGTGCTGTCGGGCACATGGGACGAGAAGATGGAGTTCTCCAAGGTGATGCAGAGCAGCCGAGGAGGCGAGAACGGCACTGAGGGCAAACAGAAGACGGTCTATCAGACCCTTAAAGCCAGAGAGTTGTGGAGAAGAAACCCTTTACCGTAAGTGCTGTTCTAAAAAGTAAAACCGGGCTGTGCTGCATTAGTTACGATTTAGAGGTGCGCACACAGCTTTCTGAAGCAGAAATAAACATTAGACCTAAACATGGATGGCATCAATGCCAGTATCAGGGTGTAGTTTTGTGTGACTGAAAGCGCTGCTGTGCTGTGCTCCGTCATCCTCCTCAGCGATGGAGCAGAAACCATGTACTACTTTACTGCCTTGGCCTTGACCCTGAACGAGCCTGAAGAGGGCGTGGCTCCCACAGACAGCCGACGGCGGCCTGACCAGCGCTTAATGGAGGAAGGTCGCTGGGACGAGGCCAATGCCGAGAAGCAGCGGCTGGAGGAGAAGCAGCGCACCGCCCGCCGTGAACGAGAGAGGGAGGCCGCAAGCCAACGCACCTCGAGTCAATCAGAAGAAGGTTAGAATCGAACTTGTTTGTGCTTCACTTTTTCTTTACTCCTTTCCTCTCTGCATGGGGAAAATCATGGAACAAAGGGGTAAAACGATTCTCTGTGATCCCCTTTTGTCTTCCAAAGCTGTCGATGAGGACTCTGTTACCGATCCCTCCTTGAAAGGCAAGTATTCCTTTTTTTTTTTTCTTTCTTTTCTTTTCTTTTTTAGATAAAAATCGATTAAACTGTCACCATTTCATGTTTAAATTCATGTTGCTCTAGTGAGAAGCTCATTAACTTTCTGGGGATCTTTTTTTTTTCTTTTTTTCTTTTCCCCCCTCTGTCCTTCCGTCTCTTTCAGGCGCACCTCATGACAGCTATCTTGCACTTTGGTTCGAGCGCTGCGAGGACCCAATCACAGGTGAGGAGATTCACATCTATAAGGGAGGCTACTGGGAAGCTAAGGAGCGCGGGAGCTGGGAGAGCTGTCCCAACATCTTTTGATCTTGGCATTGACTGCAAAGTGCCGTGAAGAGACACCATCAAAGGCCTGCTGTTCCCCTTCTCTGACGGCTGCTCCCCTCCAGTTGCTCTCTGTTCTAAGAGATCTCCAGGACGGTCACTGCTGTCTGATCCACAGGGAGAGCAGGGTTTTCTCTCCCTCGTCCCATATTTGGTTTCCCCCTCGTTGCTGTCACATATCTGAGAGGACTGGAATGAAAATTTCTTTGCTGTTTGGGTGCTTTTGTGGTTTTTTTTTTTTTTTTTTGTTTCTTTTTCTTTTGTCCCGCTGAGCATGAGTGGGAGGATGTGAAACGAGCAGTGCTTCCAAATCAAGTTTGCTCAGTCTTTTCAGATCAAGAGTGTTTGATTGAGGTGATTCGGGTTTTATTTTTTGTTTCTTGTTTTTCCTGTTGTCACCCATAGCATTATCTGCTTTGGTAATAACTCTAGAAAAAAAAATAAAGGGGGGGGGATAAAACCTGATTAATATATACATTTATATACAGGTATGATTAAAAGTAATTTTCATTAAACTGTCAACTGGTGGCCTTCAAGACATTAGCAAGTTTTCTTTTGTTAATCTCTGATTTAGTGTCTTAACGTAATGAAGTGAAAGTTGTAGCGTGCTCGTATGTATGACTGCTTATCTGCTCTTCCATCACTTTACAACAGGGCCACTGTGCAGTGTGCTTTAAAAAAAGATGACCTTTCACACTATCACGTTTATAATTAGGTTATTTTTCTTTACCAAGGCCTAGTGGGAAGTATGACAGTGAAAATTGTAGTGTGGCAAGGCCTAAAAAAACAAACCTTTCTTTGCCTTAGAAATGAAGAACCTGCACTTGTTGTTGCAAATTGTCTCACATAACTGTTTACCTTAATAATAAATAATAAAACTACCCCTTTTTTTCCCCCCACAATGCTGGAATAATATTTTGACATTTTTGTTAATCAAGTGAACGGTAACCAAATTTACTGTAAAAAAACAAAACAAAAAACAAAACAAAAAAATGGTTTTAAATAGTGCAGGATACTTGCTGTGCTCTTGTATTGACTGTAAAACAGACAAATGAGTGAAGAAAACATTAAAAAAAATACATGTTCATACATATGCAACTACATGTTGACACCAAAAACACAGGATATATGTATGTGTGTGTGCGTGTGTGTGCGTGCGTGCATTTCATAATTTTGTTTGTAAGTGTACTTAAAAAGTGAAGAATAAAGAATTGAAAATCATTGCAAATAACTGATTTTATAAATGTATAGAAATTCATATTGTAGTAGTAAGGTAGACTTTTTTTTTCCCTTGTATTTTTGGTTCCTCATAATATTGGTAGGCTGTCTTCATTTTCCAAAAAAAGGGAGTTTCAGTACTTGACTCAGATGGGCGAGGGACGTGGCATTGTTCAGTATTTTGTATTAACAAAGAGAAAAACTGAAATAAATGCTCTAATGTCAAACAGCACCTTTATACTGTTTTTCTTTAATCTGCATTTCCAGGTTTTTTCATGGCCCAATGAAGTCTATTCCTGTATTATTTCTTTACAAATTAAACACATAAAAGATTTGGAGCTGAGTCCAAGTATTGAACTAGTGTTCACTGGAACTTTAAATACACTGAACAAAAATATAAACGCAACACCTTTGTTACTGCTCCCATTCCCATGGGATGGACGTAGAGACCTAAAATTCATTCCAGATACACAATATAACCATCCCTCCCAAACAGTGGTCACAAATCAGTCCAAATGTGTGGTAGTGGGCACATCTGCTATATTGAGATAATCCATCCCACCTCACAGGTGTGCCACATCAGGATGCTGATCTGACATCATGAGTAGTGCACAGGTGTACCTCAGACTGCCCACAACAAAAGGCCACCCTGGAATGTGCAGTTTTTTGCGCTATTGGGGGTCTGGGGACCCAGAACCGGTCAGTATCTGGTGTGACCACCATTTGCCTCATGCAGTGCAACACATCGTCGCATGGAGTCTATCAGATTGTCAATTGTGGCCTGTGGAATGTTGGTCCACTCCACTTCAATGGCTGTGCGAGGTTGTTGGATATTCGTGGGAACTGGTACACGCTGTCGTATACGCCGGTCAAGCACATCCCGAACATGCTCAATGGGTGACATGTCCGGTGAGTATGCTGGCCATGCAAGAACTGGGACATTCTCAGCTGCCATCTGCCCTGAACAATGTGAACCATGATTCATCCGTGAAGCGCACACCTCTCCAACGTGCCAGACGCCATCGAATGTGAGCATTTGCCCACACAAGTCTGTTACGGCGACGAGCTGGAGTCAGGTCAAGACCCCGATGAGGACGACGGGCATGCAGTTGAGCGTCCCTGAGACGGTTTCTGACAGTTTGTGCAGAAATTGTTTGGTTGTGCAAACCAATTGTTCCAGCAGCTGTCTGGGTGGCTGGTCTCAGACGATCTTGGAGGTGAACCTGCTGGATGTGGAGGTCCTGGGCTGGTGTGGTTACACGAGGTCTGCGGTTGTGAGGCCGGTTGGATGTGCTGCCATATTCTCTGAAACGCCTGTGGAGACGGCTTATGGTTGAGAAATGAACATTCAATGCACGGGCGACAGATCTGGTTGACATTCCTGCTGTCAGCATGCCAATTGCACGCTCCCTCATTGCTTGTGGCATCTGTGGCATTTTGCTGTGAGACAAAACTGCACATTCCAGGGTGGCCTTTTGTTGTGGGCAGTCTGAGGTACACCTGTGCACTACTCATGATGTCAGATCAGCATCCTGATGTGGCACACCTGTGAGGTGGGATGGATTATCTCAATATAGCAGATGTGCCCACTACCACACATTTGGACTGATTTGTGACCACTGTTTGGGAGGGATGGTTATATTGTGTATCTGGAATGAATTTTAGGTCTCTACGTCCATCCCATGGGGAATGGGAGCAGTAACAAAGGTGTTGCGTTTATATTTTTGTTTAGTGTATTTAAAGTTCCAGTGAACACTAGTTCAATACTTGGACTCAGCTCCAAATCTTTTATGTGTTTAATTTGTAAAGAAATAATACAGGAATAGACTTCATTGGGCCATGAAATCGCTGGCCAGTCAGTTGACCAGGTTACTATATAACGTTTTGTGTTTTATATGTAAGGCTGTAATTCCTAAACAAGAAAATTTTGCTAAACCCCTTGAATTAAAGCTCAAAGTCTGGATTTCAGTCACAATGTATACTACACAATGGCAACGCAAATTACACGTAAAGGTTCAAAATTAAAGTCTGAGGAGCAGATTAGTGTATTTCACAGGTCAGCACTGAGTATATTATCTGATAAATATCATGTTTGAATGGAAAAATTGTGCTTTGTACAGGCATGCTGTTATATAGTTTGTCCACTAGAGGGCGCTACTCACCACAAAATGAGCCACAGGATGGCGTTTCCTGCCTCAGAATGGATGTGTGTTACTGGACTTTAAATGCCCTCTGAGAAAATAAACCAAATGAACCACTTATTAACAAAACTGGTATATTTTCATAGTAGCGCTGGCGAGAGGGGGTAAAAACAAGCCTCCTGTGGGGCTTTTCCTGCTTTTGGAGTTTTCATGTACACTTCTTACACTTTTCATCACCTTTCACCAACAAAAGGTCTTTTCTTTAAATTTATCCATTACATTTATAGCGTGACAATTATCTGTCCCTTCCCATTTGATTGATCGAAACACTTTGAAGCGCAGTTCTGATTGAGCTACTTTTACAATTAGTAAAAACTATTACAAAATAGAAAGAAATACAGAAAATATGTATTTGAAAAGTCACCTGACGATAATAGAAAATCTATTTGACTTCTTATATGTACTTGTCTATAAATAGTCCGCCTCCCTGTGTGTTCCCTTTAAATCTCCTGCTTGCTTCCAAAGGAGTTGCTTCTTCTATTGTACACATCACAGGCACCTCTCTTTGCTGTGTCATGCCAGCAGATTTATTTTTAGCCAGTTTTTTTTTTTTGAAAGGCAGACTGGAACCTACCATCCTATACACGGGGCAAAGAGAAACAGGGAATACGGGGAAAGCTGGGGAGGGGCTTTTCAGCTCATCTAACCTGACTGATGCTGTGACTACAGGAAGCGACCGACACACTCCATCACACTCGGGACACACCCTTTCCTACCACACAGTGTGGTACAGTGCAGTGCAGTGGACAGGAGGTGGTTGAGAAACGGTGAGAGTTTGTATAACAGGCAGCAACTGCCTGAACAGAGGGAGGGATGGGAATGCTGAATCAGTGAAAATGCATGAAAGCCTGGGAGAGGGTGGAAGAGGGTAAACGGCAGGGGGAGAGGGAAGAGAAAGGTAACAGCGAGGGGTAGGCTGGGTAAAATGTACAGTGTGATTCCTTGTCGTTCATTCATCTATAATTTGTGAATATTGAGCTGGCAGTTCACCCTGATTTACATCAAGCTTCTCCTTAAGAGTCTTGCATCTCAGTGCTGATTTACAGTACAGTGCCTTTAAGCTGGAATTGTCCCTTTACAGTGTTCAATAAGTCAGGAAAGTCTCTCAGCTCTCAGTCAGATGGAGGTAGACCAGATGGTGCCTTTGCCAAGGTTGCCCCGGGTCGCCGTGTGTGGAGGTACCCATGGCAATGAGCTGTCCGGTGTGTATTTGGTGCGAGAGCTGCTGAAACTGCAGAGAGAAGTTATGAAGAAAGAGCAAGAGGAGGACTCGAAGCCTGCGTTGGTGCTGCTGGTGCTGTCAAACCCGCGGGCAATGCAGCATTGTCGCCGATACGTAGACACTGATCTGAACCGCTGCTTTACCCACGCCACCCTCAAGTAAGGCAACAATCAGAGATAACACTCATGGTGTCAGTTGTAAAATCAAAGAGCGTGCTGCTATTTTGTATTTTTCTTTATCCCCCAGTGGTCCCTTCTCAGACATGGCCCCCTATGAGATCATCAGGTCCCGAGAGCTGAACGCCCTGCTAGGACCCAAGGGCAGTCCGGAGGCAGTGGATCTGGTCTGCGACCTCCACAACACCACTGCCAACATGGGCCTGTGCTTCATCGGATACTCTGACTGTGACTGGATCTGCCTGCACATATTTAGACACCTGCAAGTGAGTAAACCAGCTTCTTAGTTTGAAATCTTTGCGCCCTGCATGTTTGTGAGCTAAAATTTGAGTTTTTTTAGAGGGAGATGCCAGATACACCAATGAGATTCCTACATTTTGATGTGTCCAACAAAGAGTCCTATTCCCTTGATTCACTGGGAAAACATGGCTTTGGTAAGTTTTTACAGCTTTTATAAATCTAGTCTAGTCAAAAGTGGCATTAGTGCGTGATAACTCTCAATTTAAATCCTTGATCTGCAGCCATGGAGATCGGCCCTCAGCCTCACGGCGTGGTGAGGTCAAACATCTATACAGCAATGAAAGTGGGTGTCCAGCACATGCTTGACTGGGTCCGCCTCTTTAACTCAGGTACATTTTTATAGACATATTACGGGCTGAGCTGAAACAATGCATCTTTGAGGCTCTCAGTTGGTTTCAATCACCTTCTCTGTTTATTACCAGGTAATGTGTTTGAGGGAGGATTTGTGGACGTGTTCACCATGGTTAAACACATCGACTACCCGAGAGACAGCGAGACCCGCAATATCACAGCAGCCATTCATCCTTGTCTCCAGGTACGGCCTGAGATACCTTCACTTAAAAGCAAAAAACTCCTTGGAATAAAACACTGAAGTACTGCCAAGCAATTATGTAAGTTAGACATAACCAGGGAGGCTGTAAAGTATGAAGAGGCGCACATAACATCAGAAACAAACTTTATAACAATAAAGTACGAGACATGTACAAAACACAAACAAAGAAGAAGAAGAAAGGCCCTTTGTCCCAAGAAAAATAATCACAGTCTGAACTCAAAAGCTGTTTGTGCAAGAATGAATCAAGTTTTATATTTAGCCTGTCGCCACACCTGCTGTCCAGAAGTGATTCATTCAGTCAGTGTGCGTTTTCTTTTACTGTAAAGTATAAACAATTACAACACAAGGTGAGGCCTTTTTTATTAAAGGAGCTTTGTCCCAGAGATGATACTTGTCAAGGGTTTGTGTTAAGTTGAAATCTTTGTTTCACCTATTTGGAATCTAAACGGAAAAGGATGGCCAAAGGTGACCGGATTAAAAATTAACACCTTTAATTTAATTCATGTGGCTAAAAGGCAGGCTGACTGGGTCAATGCCAACCTCGATAGTAAAAAAACAACAAGTCAGTTCAATTTATTTAAGATTAACACCGCTAAATGTCAGAAGCAGCTGTACAGGCAGACGCAATAAATAAATGTCTTTATCCATTATACTTTATACTGTGGTTTTTAAGGGAAATGTGTAATGTGGACGACATAGATTAAACTGCTTTAAGCTTTAGTCAACTGAGGAAACTTTAGTGAAAACTGAAATAAGAAAAAAGCTGAAGTAAAAATAAAAATGTGCTGGAAATGTCTGGGAGTTTCGTTAAATTTGTCAACACAACCAACCTGAGGAGGCTTTTGGTAGAGATGTTTACTGAGAATAGGATGGTTGCATAACTATCAGTCTGGTATATTGTATTTTTAAACTGTTCTGCACTTCTTAAATTTAGCTCCTGACATATGACATATGATTTTTTTATTTGCATTTAAAATAAGCACCTAGCATCACTTAATGATATTGCACTTTAAGCCACTGGAGCTTTGTTATGGCACTTTTAATCCTGTTAAATCCGACAGGTGTTGCTCAGCACCTAAACCATCTGCTTGTCCTCACAGGACCGAGACTTCTGCCTGCTCCACCCTGAAGACCCGCTGTTCCAGACGTTCTCAGGAGAAACAGTGAGGTATAAAGGCACTGAACCTCTCTATCCTTTCTTCATCAACGAATGCGCTTACTACGAGAAGGGCATCGCTCTCTCCCTGGCAAGAAAGAGGCGCATCACGATTCCTGCAATCCGGGTGCAGACGGAGCAGGAGCAACAAGCTAATGAGCAGGGATTTGCATCAGAAGAAGAGGAGTGAAGACGTTTCCAACACGAGAGTGATGGCTGAATTAAATTTTTACAAAAGCTTTCATTGAAATGATGGCATGCGTTATCTTTCACAGACATGCCACTGTGCATTCAGGAATTAAGTTTCTAGTAAGAATTGAATGTGTAAAAACAGATGGCATGAATTCATAGGCAATTTAATTATTTTAAATATTTAAATTAAAAAAATAGAAATTCACTACCGATTACTACAGCGATGATCAGGATATGTTCAAAATGAAGTGCGAAGAAGCTTGTAATAATATGACCTTTAAAGTACAGTCACTGTACTGTTTCAGGTTCCTTGAAATTAATAAGTCAACTGAGGAACATATATAGATCAAATAAACAACATAAACACCAGATTAAAAACCAATTCACAAGAAAATTACTTTTTGAATGTAAGCGGTCAGCAAAACAAATTAGTGAATGAGCACTACTGTATTTGCCTCCTTTTCTACAAAATCCGTGACAACATGATAAATATGATCAAAAAAAGTACACTGGGTAAACAAATTATACCACAATCTGAACCTAAAAACTAGCATAAATTCTAAATGAGTAAATATAACTTGAGTGAAACAATTACGGAAATGTATGCAAAGTATGTTCCCCTGAAATCATGGGAACATACTGCAATGACAGTAATCAGTGTCACTGCCTTTGTTCTTTTGTTCTTCCCGAGGCCAAATTCTTTCAGTCTGTTCCAAAGAAGCTACATAAAAAACTCCATTACGAAACAACTGGCTGAGCTGACAAAAAGCATGTGCGTTTTTGTTATACTCGGGGTGTGCCCAGTAGCTGAAAGTGGATGAACTAAATATATAAGGATTAGTTTCAACTGTGAATCATGCCAAGATATTCTTTTACAGATGGCTACTACAGGCTGAAATGTGTACGATAGGTCCACTTTCAAAATGGCTCTGCTCTGTTCCCCATCTATCGTGACATGCTGTACAACCACAAACTGTATATAAAAGATGGACACTGTGACCATGCTATGTCATTATAGTTTTCAGACCTTTTGACATTTTGTTTTAAAAAGTAAAACAAATCAACAGACTGAACCATACTCTGTGGAGCTATGGACATTTGACTATTGATATTGTTAGCTGCCATGGTTAGCATGGCAAATCTATAATTCACTGTGACATAAAATAGGCTGGGTATTTTGTTTGCCCCAAAAAACAGGTATAAAGCAAAATATAATTATAATTTGCAATGTTATAATTACTTTGAAAGTATTTGTCAAACTGAAATTACATTTACATAAATAACCTACTTTTAGATCAATGTTCCCTCTAAGCTGCGCGTGCGCAATTGCGCACTGCTGGCATGGTCTCTGCGCACAGAAATGAAATCTAACCTGAACTAAAATTAACTCATTCACTGCCATTGACGTCTATGGCAGTGAATGAGTTAAAATAAATATGTTAACAATTCTGTTTTGCAGTGTTAGTCAGTGACTGGCTGCTCCCGTATGGGATTAGAATGATGCCACCTTATTCCATAGTCCAGCCAATAATGCGATTCACATACGCAGCTAATCAACTTGGTTGACAGGCTATGACAGCGTCCTTATGTGCCGACACCGGTGTTTTAGCTAGCAAAGCAGCGTGGCTGATGTGGAGTGAAGCCACATTAATGACAACATGAACAACCATTGGAGACGTGAGCAGGACAGACGGAACAATTGACGGAAAAAGTGTGGACTTAATCCCAGTTTTTAAATTGTGTTGATAGGCCACGTAAAACCAAACCAAACCAAAATCAAAAAATTACTTTGGTTTCCTAAACATGGCATTTAGATGTTTAGGAAGGGGGGAAGTTTAGGAGTGTTTAGAGATGTGAGAGACTTGTGACTTGCGACGTTTAGCGCAAATCTTGTGTAGTTAGTGTGTAGTGTAGTCAATAGTTTTGTTGTGTGTGTCAGAACAATGAGGTGACTGCTGAATGTTGTAGGTGTTACAGGAGTGATACATCTCCTGTTGTCAGGCCTGCAGGTATCAGGCTGTTGTTCTCCTTCATCTCATAGTGGACAGAAAGTATTTTTTGGAGTGACCCAGATAATTTGTGTGGCATCAGATATGATGCAGAACAGCTGATTGTTCTGTAAATTCCAGAAAAACGCCTTGGCTGCATTTTTAGGTTAAACAGCTGCAAATAAACTTCGTTGTTTGCAAAACTCAGTTACTTTTTTGAAGAAGCAACTATATAATTAATTGCCCAACATAGGTCATTATATTCTGTATTATGCAGACACAGAGTTACAGGACTCTCTCCCAGACCACAAACTCATAATACAAGTCACAGCTTTATAGGAAGAAAAAAAAAAGAAAGTTGTGTTTTCAAAATTGGAGTTCAAGATATTTTTACTTTCAATAGTGTTAACATGCTACACAGGTCATGAACAAGATTTTTTTTCATTGTAAGTGGGCTAAAGCACTTAATTAAAAGTAGTCTAACATAAATGTAAATGCTGTAATTTGATTATTTTAATAAACCATGTAACTTGGATGGATTCGATGCTGGCGTGACCACAGTGCACACGTCTGCTGTTGCTCACAGTGGTCCAAACAGGGACCGCTCAGGGAGTTTGTGTGTTCGCTCAGACACATGAAAAATTAGATGTACTAGGTCACATTCCTGAAGCCTTAGTAAACTGTTTACTAATATAGTCTGTTGACATTTGAATATTGTGCTTACCAGAAAGCAGATGAACCACTGCTATTCTAAGTCAGAATCCAGTCAGACCTGCTCAGAAACTGGCACCTCCATAGGTCTGCGCATACAGAGAGAGGGAGATGTGAGATTGTTAGTAAATGAGGCATTTAAGTACCTTCCTCTGCATGTCACAAACTTCTGCATAGACTGGGGTAATTATTCAACATCACATGTAATTAATGCACTAGTATAGCTGAAGTTACATATGTGCAGCATGTCCTCCCCGCTGTTGTGGTTCCCTGGTTCTTTGTACTTTGGAGTAAACTGTTGAAGTAGAGTGAAACTTCGACACTCCAGCACCATCTTGGCACCTACAAGAGATCAGTTATTTCAGTGTTTAAGCACATTAAACTCCATTTACTGTATGAATTACATTCATTTCAAACGTTGCTGTCGTTTTTTTTTAAATCTCGGTGTATTTTCTATTTCCTGAGGAGAAACTGGCTGTACAAGCAAAGTCAAAATATAAAAGAAAAAAGGAAGCCGTGCAAGAGGCTGGCGCCGCGTTCAGGATGTACTCAGTGACTCACTCTGCGACAGTTGGGCTACGGTGATGATTCCTGCAATCCGAGTGCAGGCGGAGCAGGAGCAACAAGCTGATGAGCAGGAATTTGCATCAAAAGATGTTAACCACATGAGACTGATGACTGAATTCAGTTTTTACAAAACTTTTTATTGAAATGGTGACATGTGTTATGCTTGTTCACACTCACACACGATATTTAAATACACAGTTATCAACTGCTGCAGCTCACGACAGGGGGATTAAGCACTCTTTCACAAACAACACATGGTAGTGTGCATTCAGGGATTGAGTTTCCAGTATTTAAAGGGGGAATGTGTAAAATACAACGTGTTTCATAATGAGACGAACAATGCATCATTTCAGATATTCATGAAGCTCATAAATCTTTATCAGCAGTGATATTTCACAAACAGATATCATGAATTTGTGGGTAATAGTGGTATTTTTTCTCCCCAAATGTAATTATTTTAATATTTACATTTTAAAAATATAGAAATTCACCACTGATTACTACAGCAATGGTCAGAATATGTTTGAAATTAATTTAGGTGCAAAGAAATGCTGTAGCTTATCATAATATGGCCTTTAAAGTACATTCATAGTGCCAACCAGGGAAATGAGACTAAAACAGTTTGTTTGTTTTTCAGCACATTAATCCGTCATCTGAGGGACATACATCGATCAAATAAACAACAAAAAACACCCAAATATGAACTAAGAAAATTACTTTCATGAATGTATGTGCTCAACTAAAAAAAAAATAGTAAATGAGCACTACTGTGGTTTTCACTTTTTTCTACAAAAATCAGTCACAACATGATGTGATCAAAAAGCAAACAAAGCAATGCAATACATACATCGTGTAGTAAACAAATTATACACACAGTCTGAACATAATAACTACCATAAACAATAAATAAATAAATAAACTTAAGTAAAAAAACAACAACAACAACAGAGGATTTGAAACAGAATTGTAAATTAAATTCTAGTCATGGGAACATTGTGTAAATACAACAAACCTGTGGCCACATTCTTCAAGTGCAACGAACAGGAACGTCATCACATTCAGCTGCAATCACGTGTGGCAGACTAGAAAATTTCACCAGCAGAGGTCTGTAAATACACACTTTTCCCAGACTCTAGTACTTCTTTTATTACAAAGTGTGCTTACTTATCACTAAAGTGCCTTCTGTCATCGCCATTTAAATGATAAAAATCACACATATCAAGGAACAGTAGTCAGTGTGCAGCTTTTTTTGGTTAAATTAAAAAAAAAAAACTACAAATTTGACTTCCTTTGCGAAATACGTCATCAACAAAATCAACAAAAATTGCGCAGGTTAAAATATTTTCCATTATACGTCAGTTGACTTGATTATATTTTTACAATGGAAGCTTTATATTGGACTGAAGAAAACTATGACAACAACTGTGACGTTTTTAAAAGATAAAATTAAATCCTGTTCAATTTTCAACAGATCAAAGATGTTTAAAAATGTGCAGTACGCATGTGCCCTTATGACAAACAGGAAGAACAGCAATATCACAAAATCTCTGTAATCTGATAAGATGGGATGAGAAGGAAGGAAAACTGAAGTCAGTACACATGAAACCTGTGTAAACTGTCATTTAAGAACTTGCTTTTACTTTTCTTCCAAACAAGATTTGTTTTTTAAAATTTATCTGGCACTCTGATACCAGGTATGCAGTTCACGGGGTCATGCCTTCTTATCACTGCCTCCAAAGAACAAAACTATGAAAATAAATCGCAATATATCTACTTTTCCGATGTGACTGACCTGCACTTTGGAGATTTTGATTACATTTATGTTGTATGAAAGTAGGGCACTGCTAATGCTTCTCTACTTCGTTTCAAGTTAGTCTGAAGCACACGTATACTACATATTGTTCTGGTAAATCTGATTTGCAAACCATTTCCATCCCCCAGGAGATAAAAATCAAATCTGTTAACGCAGCAAGAAGGGTCATTAGTGTACAGGACATGCAAAAATTCTTAATCCTTGAGAGACAAAAACACGTAGAGGAAAACCCCCCACAACTCATTAAGAAAACGAATCTTGGTGTCAGACTCTAAACAGGGCTTAAGATCCAGAGCTAAATCTCAGTTTATGCCACCCGGTAGGCAGTCATGCGGTAGTAGTTCTGACTATGGCTGCGCGCCGCCCACACTAGCAGGGCAGCAGCCATCATGTGGAGAGGTGAAGAAATGAGGACCAGGTACAGCGACCAGCCGAGAGAGCCGTCCACTTTGTCGGGTAGCATCGACACCCTGTGGAGCAGGTCCATCCCCGCCAGGTAGCAGCACACTGTGGCTAAGGTGCAGAGACCTGGATGGCGTACAGACACACTTAGTTAGGGTTTAATCACTTATCAGATTTCAAATTTATGTTTAGGTAGAAATTTTTGTGCTTATAGTTTGGTATTCACTTCGTAATAAGTCAAATGCTAAGCGTCCAGATAGTATATTTATTATTTTGCAGCATCACTGCTTGTTTCACATTAGATTGGTTAATGTGGAAAAAGCTCGACTATTAGGAAATAATATTAATGGAAACCTTCTTCTCGTATGGAAAAGTATTCGCTGTGAGCTAAAAGCTTGAGCTCCAGACTGCTTGAAACACTCTGCTTGTTAAATTTAATGCAAACAGTGTGTTTCAGACGGTGGTTGAACTGAAAAATAAGGATTATTTTGAATGTTTTATCAAGTTTCTTTTAGTGACCAGGAATAAAAGCTGAAAATGTGCATGATAGGTCCACTTTGCCAACAGATCTGCTTGGTTCCCAGTCATGAGAATGTGAGATTGACTCAACATGCACTATAACCACAGACTGTGCATAAAAAAATGGACACTGACTAGATTACGTCATTGTGATTTTCATGCCTCACAAAAGCAATAACAAACCATGGAGAGAACTATATTTAAATAAGTTTGTAGAGTTACTTTCAGATGTAAAAGTTTACATCCCTGAACCCTTATTAAAATGTTTAATTGCACAGTCTGACAACATGTATGGATTTCAACATTGCTCCTACCAGCCAGCATGTGAAGCACTCCTATTCCAAGAGTTGGTGTGAGGCTTCGGCACAGACAGGCACAGAATCCAGTCAGAGCTGCCAACACCACTAGACCCAGAGACACCAACGGCAGCAGAAACTGGCACCTCCACAGATCTGCGCACACACAGAGGGATGTGCGAGATAAGATTCTGCCCTGACTGGGATTGATGTAGTACTCAACATCAGATGTAAGTAATGCACTACTTAGACAAGAGGCTGAATCTAATATAGAATATTCTCACAGCTAAAGTGTGCTTTTTGCATATTTTAAAAAGCATAAACTTGTGGCTGAGCTTACATGTGCGCACCATGTCCTCCCCGCTGTTGTGGTTCCCTGGTTCTTTGTACTTTGGAGTAAACTGTTGAGGTAGAGTGAAGCTTCGACACTCCAGCACCGTCTTGGCACCTGCAAGAGATCAGGCTCCCGTTTATACTCCATTTACTGCGCATTTGAATTAAATTTTCATTTCAAACATTGAGTTTCGTACTACCTGTGGAGAAACTGGTTGTACAAATGCGCACAAAATGTAAAGGAAAAGTGAAAGCCCTGAGAAAACTTTCTCACATTATGAAAAGAAATATAGCGTTAAGCACGACAGGAAATACCTACTGTACGGTTGGTTTTTCACCTACAAATGAAAGTGATCGTAAGGCCCAGGTAGAAATTGGTGATCAAAAAAACTGAGTGATCAAACTAATTGGCAACAGTGGTTAAAATTGAATGGCATGTTGGTGTGGTGGTTAGCACCAGAAAGCGAAAATCCACTCTGTTTGGAGTTTGCACGTTCTCCCCGTGCTTAGGTGGGTTCTCTCCCAATAGGCCAGCTTCCTCCCACAGTCCAAAACATGCAGTTAGTGGGGTTGGGTTAACTGGTGATTTTAAATTGGCTGTAGCTATGAATAATTTTTTTGTATGTGTCAGCCCTGCAGGGGACAGGCAGACCTGTCTGGGATACACACAGCCTCTTGCCCTGTGACAGCTGGCACAGGGTCAAGCCCCCCCCCCCCCCACGTGACCCTATAATGAATAATTGGAGGAACAGGGTTGGAATTGATTTCCTGTCTAAGTCTGTGTAGTGGGAAACAAAATAAAATGCTCTGCATAGAGATGTGATGAAAACAGAGGAGAGGCCTGGGAATATACCACACCTGCCTGAGACCAGATGCTCAATTAGAGAGCAGCAAAAGCCATCTCTGTATAGTTTAAACCATCTGAGACGTGAATGATCCAACTTCACGTAAAGCTACAAGGACACTGTGCTACTGACGTCACCACATATACATACCTGGCTCTTTGTACCAGTGAGCGTTGGCAGGAACAAGCACACACCGCCACCAGAGGCCCACAGTCCCGTTAAGACGGAACAGCGTGTCGCTGTAGGTTTTCTCATCGAATTCTCCGTCTATGAACTCCTCGTACAGCGAGCGCAACTCGGAAATGTTGGCCTCTCCGCGCACTGTGGGGCTGCTGTACTGGTACCAGTGCTGCGTTCCGATTGCCACCGACAGATACACGGTGGCTATGATGCTCAGCACGCAGGCGATGACCAGAGCTGTGGCGTAGCGATTGTCAACCATTGTTCACCGAGACAGAGACACGTCAGAAGGGATTAAGTTGATGCCAGCGGTCAAATCGTCGCCCGATCGTTGCGCCTCAATTTGGTCGACATACGATGCTTCCAGTCCCCCCCACCCTCGCTTCTATCGCAACCACATTGGCATTGGTAACCTTGAAAAACGCACTGTGCTGTATACGGCGGCAGTGCTTTATTTTAATGATTGATACTGATCTCCAGTTCTGCACGAACGCTCAGCGTCAGCAACCCTGCAGCCCGGCTTGGATGCGCCATCTGTTCCCTTGTCCCACTTCTACAGATGGTGGGTGGCCCGACGCTGCGACGGTTCCAGAACAACAAGAGTCCACCACCACCTAAACAACAATCCAGGAAAGAAAGCAAAAAGAGAAGCCGTTATACGATAGGCTAAGCCCACCAGCTTGCAAATGCAAATTGCATGTGTCTGATGGCAGGTTGATGCACCCAGGATGCTAGGAGTTGTAAACACACTAATCCCTGCGTTTTTCTCTTCCGGTTCCGCCGGTCAGCACAAATTAAAAATAGCCTCGTTTAATAGCGCGTACCTCAGTGGTTCCAAAACTTTTTTTTTTTTGTTGGGCCCCCCTTTGTTTTACAAGAAAAATGTTTTTTTCCTGTGTAATAACATTCAAAATTGCTATCAATACATTTTTAAAATGCCTCTCTGTGCAAAATAGGTTCAAAAACATAAACAATTGTGGGATACTGTTTGTCCGTGATTTGGACAGGGGGAACAAATTGTGGCAGGATCAGCCTGATATTATTTGTATCCCACTGTAACTTTACTGTATAAAGAGCTAACATCTCCAAAATGTCAGGAGTAGTTAGTCATTATAAGAAGTGTTTATGAACTAAAAATCAAGACTGTTTGTCCGTGATTTGGACAGCCCAGCGCTGCTCCCGATGCAGGGGAAAACCAATTCTGCAGGGGAGACCTACCTTGGCACTTGTGCAGGTGAAGCCAAGGGGAAGATATGCTTCACCATATTTTCTAGTCTTTGGCTTGGAAGGAAGTTGGTTTGGAAACACATTTGGCGATGCTTCATCTCCTGCTTTGCGTTTGTGTGGAAGCCCCGTCAAAAACCTGTCCATTATGCTAGCAGTGTCCAAGCCGTCTTTTTTTTTTCACACCGCCCCCCCCCCCTGGCGTTCCTGGTGAGCAGCCACAGACCCTCACAGGCTGACAAAGTGCTGCCTCGGTAAACATGGACTTTTGGGACTAGCTAGTCTCAAAAGATGCCCTGTGATCGTCCAGCTTTATTTTTTTTTTACTTTTCGAACATTTTGGTCAATTACGCGTTAGAAAAATGTCCTCCAAACCCACTAATGCCTTTAAAATTAGTAGTATTATTGTAGGGTCCTTACTTTACAATATAAAGCGTCTTAAGCTTACTGTTATTACCGCCGATCTAAGCCGACTGCGCTATATTTTTTTACGCATTGAATGCGTAACCCCCCCACCCCCCCAAACTGACGCTGTTTCAGTCCTCGAATGTGCTTTGTAAAACTTTGAAACACGCTTAACTGTTTAAACAAGTGAAAGGCACTTGAAAAATAGATTTGGTTCGATTTGATTATTAATAAAATTAAGTAGGTGAGAAGTTGGCCCATAATTAAAATCACATTGTGTGGTATGCAGAAAACAAGACTTGGCCTACGCTTTGCCAGCCTGTAATTATTATGTACAAATGTAGGCCGCACGGCCTCCAGTGCTAAAATGAATTAATGAAATATATCATTAAATGGACTGGTTCTGATATAGTGTATTTCTACTCTATCTGAGCACTCAAAGAGCTTTACACACCTTGTCTCATTCATTACAAGCACTTTTTCTTAAGTTCTTTCTACCTAACATTCACACTCCAGATGACTGGAGACTGGAGCAGACAGGGATTTAAACCACCAACCTTCCAGTTAGTAGGTGACCTGCTCTATCACACGAGCTACAGCTACCCCAAAAATGTGCTATCAAATAAATACAATTTCAAAATAAGTACACTGATGTTTTAAATGAAATGAATAGACATGTATGTATCTTAATAATGACACATTTAATGGATTATTTAATTATATATTTATTTAATTAATTTGCCACTCGTGGCCCTCCACATTGGGCAGGCTTACTGGTGAGTTGTTAGTAGTGAATGTTAAATAGAAAGCACCCCTGAGTATGTGGTTGACCTTTTGGTCGATTGAATGCGCGTTTAAAATCTCCAATGGTGATTTCATTCTTGCAAGGTAGTTAATTGGGCACCATGGACTCCCATGATAAAAAATGGCCAACTTTACAGCTGAAATGAACATGTTAAATCCTGTTTTGTTTTTGTTTGTTTTAAAAAAAAAAAAAGACTGAGTAGCCAATTTGTCGCTATAAGGGGGTTAGTTTTATATTTGTATTTTTTAATAAGATTAAATGTTGTTATTCTTATCATGTCATCCTTGAGTAGTTTTAAATGCAGACTATCCAAAAGTACAGAAAATGGGTATTTAAAAAGCCATCTCACAATAAAAGAAAATGTATCTGTCAGTGCGCCCCAGGGTGGCTGTGGCTACAATGTAGCTTGCCATCACCAGTGTGTGAATGGGTGGATGACTGGATGTGTAAAGCGCTTTGGGGTCCTTAGGGACTAGTAAAGCGCTATACAAATACAGGCCATTTACCATTTCTTTCTTTCCTTCAAACAGTCCACCTCCCTATGTGTTCCCTTTAAATCTTGTTGCCTTTATTTTCCCTGCTGAAGAAGCTGCTTCTTCCACTGTACACATCACAGGCGCCTCTCTTGCTATGTTATACCAACAGGTTTTATTCATAGACACTCCCTTTTTTCTGTCTCCAGCCTGTCTGTCTATCTGTGCATCTATCTATCTGTAACTTGTACAAGAAAATCACTGTGCGTTACTTTGAAACACACACACATGCACTGTGATGTTTCTTTGTTTTCTGTTTAAGGAAACAAAACGTTTGCTACTATTTGTCAATAACAGTAAGTTATGATTTTTACATTTTTAAATGATGAACAAAATAAGACTAACATCGACTAACAAGAAGTCAATGAGTCAGTATGTTTCAAAATAGAACAACAGCAACAGTCACAGTGAGTGCTGGGAATCAGTTTATGTGTTTTCTTTTTGGTGTTTCCGGTTTTACTTGTCTCTCAAGTGCCGATAAACAAGACAGCTGTTGCAGTTGTTAGGATCTTTTATACAATTTCAATAGCAGTTCACTTTATTATTGTAATTTTTTAACAAAAATAAAAGCACAGCCATTTTAATAGTAACAAAAAAAGTTACTATACAAAAAAGTCAGTTAACCTTTTGGAACCGAGACTTAAAGCTGCTGTTTTTTAATAGTTCTTGCATGATGGGCATTTGCATTTGATGAGTCAATCACATTTTAGCTTGGAGCATGTTCTCACTAAAATGCTATTCTCCTGAATCTGACTAAAGTCTGCACCCTCAGTATTCATCTGTTGTCTTTTTGCTTTCTCTACTAAATTTAAATGCTGTACAAAATGTACAAAAAAAAGCAAGCAAAGCCTTTTTCTTGGACATCATACAAGGAAAAACAACAACGACTGCTGTCTATTATTGTACTATAAAAAGAAACTTACCCAGAATGAAAAGCATATGAGATGTAAAGTTATTCAGTCCCCTTCTATTATCTGCATGTTTTCCAAAGTGTTACTGACTCACACCTTATGTGACAACCCCCATTTGTTAGATTTCTTAAAGTTGATGAGATGGCTCAACAGGTTTGTACTGAGGTGTTGAAACACCATACTGGTAGCCAAATAATAACAAGCATCGCTTGGAAGTCTTTCAGTTTGCTTGGTCTTGTTGAATGTCCCCAATCTTTGATCTTTGGGCTAAAGGAAAAACAACACTTGGTGTTTAATGCTCAATCAACAATCTCTTTATTCAATAGACACTTTGAGCATTACAAACTTCCGGACGGGACATGTGCACGGGAGGGTATCCGGCAAATCTCGAAGTGTCTGACCATTTCTCCAAAGTCATAAAACCTAAACATCCACATTCTTTCTCTCTCTCAGTGTTAGAGAATGTTTTATATCAGGAATGGGATATAAAACAGTGTTATATCCCATTCCTGTTTTTCTTCTCGGAATAAACAATCAATTACAATCAAACAGTCAGTCTGCTGGTCCCTCTCTAGTCTAAACAACAGTGTTTTCAGTAACTTTCCACTAGAAGATGGTCCCCTGTTATCTACTTTCTCCCAGGCAAGCGTAAGCAAAAGTCTATAGCATTCTACCCCCCGAGGACACGTAGTCTAATGCCCTTATTTTTCAGGGCCATGTCCTATTTATTTGTATCCTTGGGCTTTGTCATAGATTCAGATAAAGAAATGGTGACAAATGAGCTGTTTTTGCAGTGCAAGTACAAGTCATCTGGTATGTGTAGAAGCCGTTTTTTTAATGCGCCAATGACTCAAAAGTCAGCGTCAAGTGTCTGTCAGTGTTCAATGAAAAACTCTGGAAGACATCTAGAATCCCTGGAATACTATTTCTCAAGACTATTAAATAAAAAAAAATTGCTACAAAGTCTGGCTCTATGAAGAAATAAAGGGCGGCTCCAGACTTTTGCACAAAGTTATATGGGATTCTTTCGAGTGACTGCATATTAACATGAGTAATATACGAGTATAAAATCATTTATGTGTAGAGCTGGGATCACGTGTTGCAGTAAGCTCATCTCAACACAGTATTGTGCTTAGTGATCCATTTTCTACTTCATAGTTTCTACACAAAGCCTGCCAGTTGTATAATATCTGAATCAGTTTAAATATCCTATTTCGCTTCACAGACAGTGGAGCAGATTATACCGTAATTTTGAGATTGTGTTTGTCTGACTTATCAGCAGATCACTCTTAAGTATCTTAAACCACTGAAACGTTTCATGATATAATTTGGCTGAATTTTACATCAGACATTAATTAACTAATAAATAATTAAGCCTCACTTGTTCTCAGTGTGCACAACTATTATTTGAAGTGTTGCGTCAATGTCTGTGTTGTTTTCTGCTTTGTACTTCCCCACATATCATCTGCCAGTCAAACAGGATTAGTGATCCTGTCGCTTCAGGGGAGATTAGGCTTGCTGCATACTTTTAAACCTGCATAACAACAATTCTGCTAAACCAAAAGAAAAGGCACATACAAACAACTTAACGAACAAAAGTGCAGCTTACGTGCTTCTTCAAATTATACTCAAGGCGGTTTTGAGCGTTCATCTGTTAAAGGTCATCATAATACATAGCACAAATAATTTTCATTCTTCACATGTGAAGCAGTCATTACCATAGTGAAATGCTGTTTGGAATATGAGATTAAAATATGCATGGCACACATTGCACAATGCACTAGCAATGGTGGTGTTGTTTTTTTGTTTTTGTTTTTTTAGTTAAAGTGCTTTATTGTTTGTTTTTTGGATCTGAGGAACAATCTGTGTAGTAGTCTAATGAAAAAAGCTGCTGCTTTGCCATTTATTTCTTTGAAAAGAGTGCTTTTAGTTATGTTAAGACATAGATGCATATAAAAAAAATCATCAGCCTATTGGTTTTGCTTTTATCAGACTAACATTACTTCTAATAGGCGTAATGTGTAGGTAAATGTAGGTGTGATGGGGTAAATCCATGTCATGAAAACAGTATCATCTTGAGGTAAGTAACTGATAATTATATATAGTTGTGTGCAAAAGTCTTAAAGCTGTCACCAACAAAGTGTTTTGTACAAAGTAGTAAATACATTTCAGTAAGCATGTTTAATACTTTTTCTCTGGGTCAGTTCTCACTATTACACAAAACTTAATATATGAACATCTACTGGTCTGATTTCTTTCCTGTTTGATGGGATGAGTTGCTGCTGACCACAGAATTTCATGCCAGTAGCACCTTTAGAAATATATTTATATATTCAGTACTTAGATGTACAACAAGGTTTCTCAGACTTCACAAGTGGTTTCTCAATAGTTCCC